ATCGCGGCCTTCTTATGTCAGGTCCGTCACCATTTAAGGATCTGGGTACCGAAGATCTTCCTATTTTCATAGAGCATTACCTGCTGTGGTAATCAACAATCGTAGTCCTAACTCAGTTTTTCATTCCCCGTTGGACTTGAACCGGCAACCTTGCGATTGGTAACCTGGAAGCGTAACCACTTTGCTATCAACTCGCAGGTCCTTCAAAGCTTTTTTCAAAAAATGTTCAAGAAAAAAAAACTAATGCCAGAAGTAATTAGCTTAATAACAATATTAGAATCTTCAGAATTAATAATGTCTTTAAAATTATTATTGTCTTTAGAATTATCTTTAGAGTTGTTGGTATCTTTATGATAGTTGGTATCTTCAGGATAATTAGTATTTTCAAGATTATTAATGTCTTTAAAATTGTCTTTAGAGTCATTAGTATCTTTAGAATAATTGATGTTTTTAGGATCATTAGGTTTCTAGGATTATTGGTGTCTTCAGAATCATTGGTGTCTCTAATTTGATCTTTTTAAAAATTATAATTAAATATATATTGCTTTTTAATAATAATTTACTAAACAGAACAGAACAAAAAAATTATTATTACTAAATATGTTTTTAGTTTGAGAATTTAGCTTGAACATTGTTAAAGGAAAAATAAAAAGCTAGAAGACACTTTTAAATAGTTTACTTTTAAGTCTCATTACAATTTGTATTCTTTTTTTAATTTAATTTCAAGTTTAAATACTTATTTATATTAATTATATACTGTATTAAGACAATACTAGCAAAAAAAAAAACTTATTATAATCATTTAAATTTTACAGATACTGTAAACTAGTATTACTTGAATTCTAACAAGTGCTATAAGTATGCAAAAAATATAAAATAAGGATCTTTTTTTTGTTATCAATGTTTTAGATTGTGACTAATGTTACAATTATATTAAAACTAATAAAAGATTATATTTATTACAATTAATTTTAATATAAATATTTAATTTGTAATTTATTACAGACAAGATGAATTACACTTTGGCTTAGGCACTGTCTTTGCTATAAATCAAGATAGTATTCTTATTCATTATAGTTAAGAAGACAGAACTGCAATATGTATTAAAAGATTTTTAATTATATGTCAATACACAATGTTATCTAAATGGTTAGTATAAAGGTTTATTATGTAATCAGTGATATTACTACTGGTGAAAATAAATAATATTCATTTATATATTATTATACTTATTTTAGTAGTTTAATTTTCTTCTGAGCCTAGAATTAATAAATGTCTAAAACTGCATAGAGCAAGGCTATAGCTTTATACATCTTTTATAATTAGAATTTTTAAAACAATTTTTTAGAATATAGTTATACAAAATTAGAACATTTTTGTTAGTTTGTTATTTTTAGATAAAAATAACTTATAGTTTAAAATATTCTACCTTATTAAAAAAATACTAGAAATTTGAAATAACAATAAGTTATTTAATTTAATCTAACAATAGCACATTAATAATTGTTAAGCATGCTAAAAAAGGAATTTGAAATAGTAATAAGTCTTAAAAATAGGTCTAACAAAGGCATGTTAATAATTGTTAAGCATGCTAAAGAAATTGAAAATATCTGTAAGTCATGACTATAGCCTAGTACTAGCAGGTTTAATAAGTACTATGTATAATAAAATAAAAAGAAATTACAGCTTTGAGATAATTAGAATAGAGTATATATCTTTAAATCATTATACTTCTATGATGATATATTAAAGCTTAAATATTTAGTATAATCAATTGAAGCATATAACATTCAAGATATTATATTATTGAAACAAGAAATCTTTAATCTGATATTAAAGAAAATTCAGACTAGGTAGTAGTGTTTTAGTAAAAACCTAATTAAAATAGAAATTATTACTTATCACAACCTTAAGTATTTCTTGAAAAAAATAAATTTTTACAAATTTTACAAGAAGTCAAAAAAAAAACAATTAGAATTTTAAAGTAAATTTTATATTATTAAAAATAATTTACTTTACAAACAAGATTAAAAAAAAACAAAAGACCTATTAATTATTTAAAGTAATTTTAGAAATAGTTAAATTTCTTATAAGTCTTATAAAAAAATACAAAGAATATTGAAAAATATAAAAATAGAACAAAACTAGATATATAGTAATACAAATTTTGCTAAAATTAAAACAAAGAACTGTTTAATGTTTAGTATAAATAGAATAACTATAAATGAGATTTAAAAAAAAAACATAAATTTAGATATCAAAAATGTAAAACAACATGAGTTAAACAGATTACAAATTAAATATATTTAAGATTAATTGACATAAAACACAAAAATTTTTAGCAAATATAACAAGGCCAAAGAAATGCCTTTCTTGATTTCATCTACAACTTGGAAACAAAACTATTCTAATAATAATAAATAACAATATTATTCTTTTAAATCTTCTAAATACTATATCTACTTTTTCAATTATTATATTTTGGCTAATTAATGAATCTCAAAACCTACAAGAAAGAATAATTGCTACATATAGAAAATTCTTTAAAACTAATAGTTTATAAAAAAAAAAGCAACTTGTTTATGCTTATTATCTAGAAGAATTATTAAAAAAAAATCAGAAAAATAATAAAAAAGTAAAAAAAAGATTTTTACTTATCATTATAAAGTTTTAATCAGAACTTATAATATTTTATATGTCCTTAAAATTGACCAAATTATTAGAACCAATACAACTAACCTCTTAATAATTAATAGTCTTTTAAGCTCTGATTATCATGCTTTATTTTGATTTTGCAGAACTTAAAAACTAAAGAAAAATAGTAAAATTAAGAGTTTTACATATTTTTGACTATAACTTTTGATGTACTAAACCAAATAGTATAAAACAATTACTATTGTATTTAGCTTACTAAAACAGTTCTAACAAGTATAAGATTATGTAATTCTGATTATGAAGTACAAGATTAAGATGATATTGATAAAAGTACTAATTATAGTACATGTGACTTGATTCTAATTGGCTCCTATTACTGTATTAAAAATCTTATATTTCTTACAAATTGACATTATCAAACCAACTTCAATGTTTTGGTTGCTTCTTAAATAAATACATTATGTAACCTACAAATGGTTTAGTTAATAAGAGGCAGTTAGATTTGGTAAGAGGTGTATTATGATTATAGGTTTTATAAAATAGTAAATGCCAGAGAATTATGAGAGTCAAACTTCATTACAAGTATATATACTTTTATTTAAATATAATATATTATACTCTTTATTCATAATATACTGCTTATACTACTTATAATGTTTATGCTAATTATATTAATAATAATGTTTATAATAATTATTTTAATTATACTCTTGGTTCTAATAATTTCCATTATTCTACTGATATTAATTATTAATCCAATACTTAGTATATAGTAGATACAGTGTATATTGCTAATACATCTATTTAAGGTAGATAATCTATATAGCCAAAAGAGCATAACTTAAAGTTATACAGCAAAGATCTTATAACAAAATTGTCACTCATGAATTTTATATTCAGATTAACATTTCTTCTCTACTTAGTAAATATATATTATGCATATAATTACAAAAAACTTGATAGTAAAGTTTAAAAGAGAAGTTTTTAGAGCTTTAGAAATCTTTAAGAAATGACTTTGGTCAAGAGCACAAAGTTAAGAAGTTAAGACCACTTAGGCTTTTTTTTACTTTATAGGTACATTTTTTTTTAACCTTTATTGTAGCTTTTTAATCTACAAACACTTCACTCTTTTTGCATAAGTCTTATTCCTTGCCAGACCAGGCTCTATTATTACAACTTACAGGCAGATTCATCTTACTTTTTGTTTCAAAACTTTAGCTTTGATATTAGGTTTCTTTAGTTTATCTTATAGTTACTGCCAAAATAACACCATCAAACTGGCATCAGCATTTTGGTTACTTTTTAAATGATACATTGTATAATTTATGAACAGCTTAGTTGATAAAAAGCAGTTAAATTTAGTAAAATGTATATTTATGATTGTAGGTTTTACAAGATAGCAAAGGCCAAGTAATTATAAGAGTAAACTTTATTACAAGCACAAACTCATTTTTTATTAAAGAACTTAAAGTCTTTATTATATACTTTCATTTATATATAACATGTTATACTTTTTATTTATAATATACTGCTTATATGTATTACTTATAACATTTATACTAATTATACTGATGATAATATTTATAATGATTATTTTAATTATACTCTTGGTTCTATCAATTCCTATTATTCTACTAATATTAATTATTAATTTAATACTTAGTATACAACAGATACAGTGTATATTGCTAGTACACTTATTTAAGATAAGTAATCTATATAGCTAAGAAAATATAACTTAAAATTATATAGCAAAGATCTTATAACAAAATTGTTACTTGTAGATCATGTGTTTTAAGTCTAACAAAATAATAGATTTTACAGATATTACAGATATTATATTTCTATTAAATTTATTATTTTTATCATTTCTATAATATCTTATATATTTTTTATATATATTATATATATTATGTCTATTATATCTTTTAGTTCTTTTTTTTTGGTTTTTAAGATAACTCTTTTTGGTCTTTTGACTTTATTAATACTTTTGTCAAGCATTATGATAAGTGTACAACTGGCTATACATATAACTTTTCTATATTATCTATTTAAGAAATCCACCCAAAGGTTTCCTACTAGTTGCTGTACCTAACACATCTGCTTAGATGTTTTATTTAAACACTTTGATCTGAAACCTTTCTACTAACTTTCTAGATTACTTGTATCTAGATTCTTGTTTCAACCTTAGAACAATTTTATTCTCAAGGTAAACTTGCTAAAGCAAGCTATATAGTTTCTATTTATTGCTAACTTGAATTTTCTGCTATAGCCAAAACTAATATTTGTAATTAGAGTTATTCATTAAACTGCTATTACTTTTGTAAAGTTCACCTAAATTCTGATATCTATTTTTCTGATATCTTCTTTATTATCTTCTACTAGCTGCCATTTAGAACTAACAGACTTTTCAGACTTTCAATTCAGATAGCCCAGTATAATTTACTTTTTTTTTGTGATTCTGGTGGCCTGGTTGGTCATGTGCTTCTTTACACATCTTGTTATCTAGTTTATTTAACAATTTTTATGAAGATGTTTTATGGACTTCTATCAGTTTAATAGCATTATTAAAAGTTTGTGCTATCTTTTTATTCAGAATTTCAAAGTAGGTTTTAGTTTTTTCAGTTTTATAGTTTTTTAGATTTAGTGGTTTTATTATAGGTCTGCACTAAAGCCTTATGTAACATCTGTTTTTACATTTCTCTATATACATGTAATATTACACTTTGCATAAATGCTCCAAGTTCCCAAAATCAGAAAGACTCTAACCTGGTGTATCTAAGATTACAAATGCATAAACTCAATTTATCGACAAGAGACAGTTACTATAATACAAATATAATTTTCAAAATTTATTATCTGTAGAAATTAAACCTTAGACCTGCCACTTGAGTTAACAACATATCTACTTTACTAGATCACTACATCCTTTATCTTTTAGTTCTTATATATCTTAACATTACTACATATAACATTA